ATTACATTTAGTGAAGCGATTTTTCTGGAAAAAAAAAAAAAAAAAAAAAAAAAAAAAAAAAACCCCACATGATATTTTCCATAATCAGCACCAAGACGTCCTAATCTGTACCATCTGTCATTTTAGTGAAAATGTGTGGATAATCCGACGGGATTACAGAGTCAGGACCTTCATGTCTTGGGGGGAAAAAATATTCACATCGTTCTGGTTGTGACATGGCCAGATATTAAAAAAAACAAAACTCAAATTTATTGCCAATTCTTCACTGCAACGTTCAAGGTTTTTCAGATTGGAGGGAGATCTTCTATTCAAAGTTTCACAATGCATTTTCTGTAGCAGAGGTGTCCAAACTGAGGGCAGAGGGCCATTTGTGGCCTTTGGGGTCGGTTTGTCTACAAATTTGACCCACCAGCAAATGGAGCTGATGCCGATGAACACTTCTTTTAATTACTTTTTACATGCGAGTTTTGATATGACATATTCTTAAATGAGAAATGTACACTGCAAGTTTATTTTTGTAATTAGCCAAGTTTTTTTAACTTTTATTTCTGAACACACTTAGACAGCGGATCATTAAGCTTTGCTAAAAACGGCGAGGACTTTGTTTGCTGACGATATGCATGTTTAAAATGCCAGAAATGAAAAAAGGCTTTACTGTAAAATTATTTGAGATTTATAATTGGGGGCTTTTTGGATTCTTCTCCAGAAGATTCCATTTTGATTTTCAGCATTTTATTTAATTTTTTGTTTGTTTTCATTTAGCTTGAATCAGCAGTATTTACATGATGAAAATCTTGCTTGCTGATAAGTGTCTTTGATTACTCTGGAAGAAGAAGAAGAAGAAGAAGAAGAAGAAGAAGATAAAGCGGATAAAACGCCACAAACATAGTGGAAAACTACTGCTGCACAATGACCTTCTTTTTTTTTTTTTCCTGCTCACTCATGAAGATGTCCAGCTGGGTCAGAAAGCAGCTCATATTTGCTTTCGCTGGAGTCTTATTATATTGGGTTTCTCTGGTAAAAGAGCTGCAAGGACAAAACTGAAGGTCATCAGTTGGAATGTTGAGCTCTTATTTGCAAATATAATGATGTTTTCTTTCCTTCTTTTTTCCTCCCTGCAGCTCTCTGCTACACTGGCCATCCCGTTCTGGCAGTGGTTCCTGACTCGCTTTGGGAAGAAAATGGCAGCTTATGTCGGATCCTTGGTAAAGCTGCGCTTCCTCTCCAGATCCGATGTTGCTAGTAAAATTTGGGAATTATTATTAACCCTGTGATTATTTTTTCCCCTCTTCCTCCTAGTCTGCTGTTCCCTTCATGATCATGGTGGTGTGTGTACCGAAAAACCTCATCGTCACTTACATCGTGTCTTTTGCCTCTGGCGTGGCGGTGGCTGCAGCCTTCCTGCTGCCCTGGTAAAAAAAAAAAAACTCAATGCTAATCCCTCATCTAGATTTTATTTTATTTTATTCAGGCACTTTGCAGGCAGCTTTTATGAAGCGGTTCTTGTTCTCCTCCTCAGGTCCATGCTGCCTGACGTCGTTGACGATTTCCAGGTTCAGAACCCGGAATCTGCGGGACACGAAGCCATCTTTTATTCCTTCTACGTTTTCTTCACCAAGTTTGCCTCTGGCGTCTCGCTAGGCATTTCCACGCTGAGTTTAGAGTAAGAGCTCACACAAAAAGACAACAACTGCACATTCTAAACTACTCTGGACCAGGCACGGCTTAGGATTTACAAAATGCAAATAAAAATATACGGAGTCACTTTGAAGACATTTTTTTCCCCCATCTTTTTTTTCCCCTAACTTGAACCAAACAGTCTAATTAGAAACAGCATGACGGAAATGCTTTTAAAATGCCACGGTTTTTCTGCAGACCTAAAATAGTGGAATATGATTAGATTATGTCTAAATGTGGAAAATTGAAAATCTGAGAATTTCTAAAAGTAAAACTCTTAATCTGAATTACTTTAGAATATATAGGTTTTTACGCTTACAGTTTGCTCTCGGCCGATTCATCGGTGCACCTCTAATTTTGACACATCAACATTTGTCCAGATGCAAAAAAGAGCAAAATATCCTTTTGCTTCCCTGAAGATAAAAAGCACTTCAGCCACTGTCGTTTCTTGATTTGTGTCAATAAAAATAGAATGAAATCAGTTAGTTAGTGTTGTACAGAAAACACACAGTTTTTAAAAAAGAAATCCAGAAAATTTAAAGTGGGAAAACGATGGCATGTTGAAAGCATAGCGACTCTGCCAGCCTTTCAGGGAAGACGTGTCGGTTTCTAATCAAACGTCTAAATCCAGTCAAATCACCCAAAACCCAGTGACTGATGGCTAACTTTCTGCTCAGTTGACTCACTGTGAAGGTTTGTTTCCGATGCGTAACCGTTTCTCTGTTATCCGTTTTTAGCTTTGCTGGATACATCACCAGAGGTTGCTCCCAGCCTAAGGAAGTGGATCTGACCTTGAAGCTGTTGGTTTCGGCCGCCCCCGTCGTCCTCATCTTCATCGGCCTGGGAATCCTGTACACATACCCCATCACCGAGGAGAGGAGGCAGGGCAACCGCAAGATCCTACAAGAGCTCAGGTAAGATGTCTTGGATAGTTGCCATGGAAACTGTGTTTTCTTTTTCATCTAAAGATAATACAACATTTTTCCAGGAATAAACAATACATACGACGACTCCAACATCGTTGTCTGCCGATATTGCTTTTTTTTTTCTTTTCTTTTTTTTATATCGGTATCGGTCCGATAAATACCAACAACAGATTTTTTTTTTTTTAATTGTGTTGCCATCTGTTTTTTTTTTTTTTTTTTTTTAAAGTGTCAAAACGGTATTGAAGGATTAAAAAAATGAAAGATGGATATCGATGTCAGCCCAAATTGTCACATCGGTGGATCCCTAAACTGTGTCATTATTTCAATATATTTTAACAAAACAATTTTCCTCCCGCTGCAGGGACGAGGCGGATTCGGCGTCGGACTCCTCGGAGGTGACAGAAATGATCTAGCGCATCTTCTGAAAGCAACTTCCGGACCAATCTGTTGGCCGGCTGGCATTTCGCACTGGGCGGGACCAACAGACCAAACCCCCAACCGGGGGTCCGTCGGATCGCACGGGAACCGCATTGTCCGGCCAACACTGTTGTTGTTGCTGCTGCTGCTGCTGCTGAGGATCCAAGTACAAAACCGTATGAGCCTCGCTGACTGAGGCCTTTCCCAAAACATCCCGCTCCTCCGTTTTTGGTTTTTTTATACCAGTGATGGTTTCGTGGTGTGACTTTCGACGCCTCGCCAAGCCTTACCTTTTTGTACGACGTGCTACTATTGAGTACAAAGTGAGAATCCTTTCAAAGGTTGGTCTCTAAATGAAATTGCACAAAGACATGTAAAAAAGAAGAGGGTGGGAGGGGTAAATTTGCATTAATGGTGCTTTTGTACATACGACACTGAACAGTAACGACCTTTAGCACTGCGCTGGAAATGACGTCACAGTAGACTTGAATACATCGGAAGAAACTGCCATTTTGCTAATTTGTTTTTTGTGTCTTTTGCCTGAATTTCACTCATATTTCAGAGACAAAATAACAACAAAAAAAAAAGCACAAACTGACGAGTGCCAATCGCTCACTGAATATCATCGTAGTTTACAAGAACGAATCAAGTGTTCGCATCACGTGAACGCAGCAAGTTTGCACAAAAAAGAAAAACTGCACAGTTTCTCCAGTCAACTGTTTTTTTTTTTATTATTTATTTATAGCAGCTACTGATGACCGCGTCATTTCTTAATGCTTTAATTTCTTCAAACCTGGAGCGAAACCTTGACGACAGCTAGCACATAAGTTTAAATATTTATTAGTGTGATTTTCACAGTCCTCCTCTTTGCAGTATTTAAAACCTATTTAAGGTCTGTACAGTCGCGCTAACAGAAGCTGCAAAGCTTTTCGTTCAGTTATTATTTTTTTTTATTATTATTTTTTTAAATGTGACGTGTGCATCTTTCGGTGGATGTTGCCATTACTACAATCTTACAGTAAATAAAAAGTTTGTACGTTCCTGTTAAAACAGCAGTAAAAGAAAAAAAAAAAGACAAAATATACTGGATAAGATTTTGAAACAATCCACCTTTACATCATAAATTCCTGCTGTTATAACAGGAGTGTGTAGACTTTTTTTTATTACTATTCTTACCTCTTCTACAACACTGTATGTAGAAAAAAAAGGGAACACATACAGTTTTGATTGGAAAAATGAGTGTGAAGACAGCAGTGAGTTTGTTTGTTTTTTTTCCTTTTAATCTTTAAATATTGTATATGAAAATAACCAGGACACTTTGATCACCTCAGTTCTCCAAAAGTGGAAAAAAAATCCCAAAAACTTAAGAAGACTGACATGTTTCATATCTACTGATGTGGAAATGTGTATATGTAGTGTCATATGTTATACATACTGTTACATCTTGGAAGTGACAACTAAGTTGCCATAGTGATTTTTTTTTTAATGCATTAACCTCTTCTTCTATCCCTTCCGAATGATACTGTACGTGCCATCGTCACTCACTGAAATTTGTAGTTATTGTACATCCTGTAAATGTTTTGTTCTCGTTGGTGCGTAGTGTTTTTACGTGTGTCTCATGACCGAGGCTGTTGACAAAATGTGTGAGCTTTAGTCCCACCTTGGGAACACACAAGCCTTGGAGACTCCGCCTCCTGTTTTTATGTAAATATTGTATGTAAACATGTAAATAGATATTTGTTTGCAAGTGAATGGATTCCTGTACACTGTACTGTAGTTATTTAAGACAAAAAATACTGTGATGGAAGGAAATAAAAAAAGATGATTAAGTGGAATGAAAATGACTTTTTTTTATTCCCCAATTCATGCAAAATACATTCTACAGAACACAAGCATTGTATATTACATGTGCAATTTTTCACATTGCACACATGTTCTAGCAAAATTTTAATATTAATCGGAACAAATGCTTAATATATCACTGATGAATCTGTATAATGTAGGTTTCAATCGAGATAATTTACTGTAATAGGTTTAATTTTTTTATCAAACTTTAACTAGAATTAGCTGGGATTAACATTCATAAAATATTAAGAAATCCGATTAAAAGAAATTGTTTACGTTAAAATGAAACCTTGAAATTCTACTTTAAAGGGCTGAACTTGATGTGTTTCAATGTTACAAACCGACAGTCTTCAAGCTAGCGCATACTGCCACCTAGTGTTGGCGCGGTATAAAATGTGTCTGTAAGTCTTGTCTTTAACTGTTCTGATGTTAGAGTCTAGATGTAAATTGGCAAAAAGTAAATAAAAAAAAGATGTCTAGCTAAACTGTGCTAACCTTTAACACTTTTCAAAATGGTAAACACAAATGCGTGCCAAGCTTTTAAGAGGTTTATCGCAAATAGAAAAAAATCATATCAGTTTCCATCTACTTATACTCTATTTTACATTGATCTGATATAAAATCTCAAACTACACTGTGGCATGTTTGTAATGTTACAAAATATATAATAAGCATTTACTTAAGTACATTAATCAAACAGTAAATGTAGACATAGTTTTAAGCTGTTTTTCAACAATATTGAGGATGCGTTTTATTTTATTGTGAAAACCAGCCCTCAAACCGGAAGCGCTTCTGTTCTTCTAATTAACCAACAAAAAGCTATAAAATTTATTTATAAATTTTAACCCACAAAGCGGACGGTATCCCACCAAAACATATACCCCGAATAAGGACACCTAAAGGGAACTTTATCATATTCAGCTCCATTCGCTGGTTTGTTATCAAGCCGAAATGGCCGCCAACCCTCCCGGACAGGGCTTCCAGAACAAAACCCGAGTCGCCATCCTGGCGGAGCTGGACAAGGAGAAGCGGCGGCTGCTGCAGAGCCAGTCCATGAACAGTCCCGGAGCCAACATCCCGCTGTCGGGCCGGAGCAGCCTGAAGGAGGCGAGGGACAGCGCGGAGCAGCAGCACATCGCCGCCCAGCAGAAGGCCGCCCTGCAGCACGCTCACGTCCACTCCTCCGGGTTCTTCATCACCCAGGACTCCTCGTTCGGGAACCTCATCCTCCCGGTGCTTCCCCGATTGGAGCCCGACTTATGACTGAACAGCACAGCTGACCCTGGTGGACCGACTTCTACTCACAAAAAGCGGAGTTTGTTAGCTGTGAACGGAAGAGTGGCACCATGGTGTTTTCTTGGTCACTTTTTTATTATGAGATAGAAACGTAAGAAAGTTATTTCAGGTTCAGAATGTTGTTCATAAGCTTAAAGTATAAAACCTTCAGTTAAAGAGCCATATATCTATGTCATGTTTACTTTCCGTTTTAATTTCAAGTAGAAGACTAGCAGTACATTTTTTGAATAAGCTATTGGACCACAGCTTGCTGTCAGAGCAGTGTTTACAGTTTAGTGGTCAGAGTTATGGCTCTCTGCCAGGGTGCTCTTCAGTTAGAGGGCGTAAGATCACTTGAAGGGGAGAAAGTGGTCCGAAAGATTCATCCCTAAAGAGTATTCTGTTGTTTTTTTATCCTTTCTATTTAATGTAGATTAGATGCCCTCTACCCACCCTTTGTTGTGCAGTGTATGCACTATAAGGAAAAAAATGACTACAAATATTTTTCTTTTTCCATCAATATCTATCTATCCATCTGTCTGTACCACAGCTGGTTGTTCTGTTTCATACTTTGTAACATACTATAGTGAGTGCTACACTTATGTTTATGTTTTGTTAGTTGCCATGCCATTGTAATTTTCATTCAAAAGTGTGTTTAATTATCCATTTCTTTATTTCTGCCTTTGTAATGTGTACATACATATAATGTGCAGCTAAAAGAGGTGTTTATTTCCCTAAAATTAATATTTTTTCCCTCCGTTTTGAAAGCAGCATACATTGTAAGATCTGAAAGTGAATGGTCTTGCCTTTAAGCTGCCACCCGTAAAGTGTATAAAGGATTTTTCTAAGCCAACAAAAATATGAAGTGTTTGTTCTGTAATTGGTTCATTGTGATTTTTAAGATATTTTTCTCATTTTTAAGTCTTGAGTTGCAGGTGGTTAAGTTGAGGCTGAGCCAAGGTTTTGTGATCAGAGGGTGGTGGTTCTGAATAAAAAGTAATAATTTTGAGGTACAAGACAGAACAATAGTTTTTTGTTTGTTTGTTAAATATTTGTTCAGGCCAGCAAACAATTTGCAGACCCCACACATTCTGATCACAAACTGTTAAAACTTTTACAATCAGGTTAACTCTATGCTGGGATATTTGCCAAAAAAAAAAAAAAAAAAACAGCCGCCAAAGAAACAGTTTTTTGTCCCCTCCTTTCTCTTTGA